CAATTTTTCCCCTTTTCCATTGCATCAGTGGCTTTCAAATTCCAAGAAATATCTGTCTCAATCACTATGAAGATATCAGCCAGTGTAAATTATGGGATGGATACAAAGATAAAAAGATGATAGATGAAAAATAATGGGTGTGTTTTAGTGTTGAATTGGAAGTTTTTAAAATGAGACTTTGACTTAAGAAGTAAGTGCTTGTATCTAGTTATGAAGCAAATTGGAGATGCATGATAATATATTGGAAAAAAGATGGAGAAGTTTCTTGAGGATTAATACAGTAACATATGTCTGATACACAGACATTTACTACAAGAAAAAGAAAATAAACAGAATCATATATGAGGGTGATGTTTGAATGTTTTATTAACTCTGTAAACAATGCAAAAGAGGGGTTAACAATTACATTTGTTGTAAACATTTTTATAAAGATAAGAACTTACTTGAAATATACACATACATAATATAACAAGTGGAATAGTAGGAAAAGGATTTGATTGTTACAAGGAAAGAAAGAAGATGAAAAAGGGAGCACACTGAGAGCAATTTGATAAGATGGGAAGCCAAAGAAACATTATGGAAACTTTATGTTTAAAACAGAATTGTAAGATGATGTCAAATTATATATACATATATTTTAACATTGCACATTTCTTTTTATTCTCTGTGTGTGATCTTCTTTCAAGATCAATGTGACAGGTGTCTTTTTTGTTCATAAGGCATGAGGTGGAGGATTAAAATTACAGTAATCAGAATGCAAAAACTGAATGCAGATTGAAGTTATTTGAAATAGCAAGGTTTTTCCTTCCTTATCACAACTCAATTATTTGATTATTATACTTTTGAATTTTTCCCTACCACTCTAGTTTGAAATAATGCATCTTCACCCCACTCTGTCTATTTCAATTTAAATTACCATATATACATGACTATAAGTCAAAAAATTTATGCCCCAAAATTTACCCTAAAATCCTGGGTCAGCTTATATACAGGTCAATACAGTTATACTACTTAGAAAGATCCTGAAGGAAGCATCACTTCAATGTGCCTTGGCAGTGATTTCTCAAAGAGCTTCCCAGGCAGGATTGTGTTGTGAAAGAGGTGGTCCCCTTCTCAATCCAATGTTAAACCTTCTCTCCCCACCAAACACCCCATTTAACTCCACTTCCTTCTATTTGCAATCCGATATTAAAACCTAATCCTCCAGCAACAGGTAAGTGGTGTTAGGTGGTCAGGGGAGGTCCAGAGAAGGAGATGGAGGGAAGGAAGTGGTGTTTTCCCCTTTAGATCCTTTCTTACATGCCCCTAAGTTTTACCCTTGATTTATCCATGGGTCATATCAAAATTCATTGTCTTGGCCCTAAAAACTTCCCTTGACTTATACATGATGTTGACTTGTACATGAGTATATATGGGGAAAGAAAATAAATAAATAATCCAGTAGCTGGAATCTTGCTGACAACATATGCTTGCATAACACAGCCTTATCTGAATGTATGGCTTCTATTGAATAGTGCTCAATGAGCCTCTGGTGTACTACCCAAAACCTCCCCAAGGCAGTTGTCAAGCCCCACCAAGACATTGTGGTAGCTGTTTGAATCACCTTTCCCCTTCCCTTCCCCATGCCAGTTAACAACTACAATAGTGCCCCACCCCCAGCTTTACAGCTATGAAGGGGGAAGAGCTGTGTATGTGAAGCATTACACTGCACACAAAGCAGGATCTCAGCCATGGTTATCTTCATTGGTCAGCATATGGAGTAAAGGAATTCTGTATTTTTCCATTCCCTTCCCCTTCCCCTTCCCCTTCCCCTT